TCCTTGTAGCCCTCCTTTTTCTCTAATTTTGGTCTGCAAACTTAGGTTGTTAACCATCCAGAAGACAAGCTTATTGTTATTATCAAACGATTTAGGCTCCTAAACTAAGTTAACAGTCATAATGATTAAAAGAACAAGGGCTGGGGAGATGGCTCAGTAGAATAAGCGCTTCCCTGGCAAGTGCAAGGGCCTGAGTTCAATCCCCAGTTCCACCAAAAAAAAAAAAAAGAACAGAAGGCATAGTAACTAAAATTACCTTTCAAGATTGGTCTATTTTGGGCCAGACAGATAGCTCAGTGGCTTAAGTGCCTGCCTTGTAAGTGCAAGATCCTAATTTCAATCTCCAGGATCACAAAAAAAAAAAAAAAAAAAAGAAAGACTGGTCTATTTTAATCACTGAATACCTTCAAGTAAGAATAAATATATAAAACATCACTTGGTTCTGAATATACAAATCATGTTACCCAAACTGTTACTAATATAAAAACAATGGCAGTCTGGATTCAATAATAGGCTTAAAATGTGAAAAATTGGCTGATATAACAAAGTCTTTCCAAAATTATACCTTTCTGCAACGTCTTCTTAGCTCACCTTTGTCTTTCTGAGTAAGAACTATTCCTTTTTACTCTATACTCTTTTTCAACCCATGACAGATCTTAGACTTTCTAGTTTATGATTTGATTAAAGACCTAATATTTTCCTACTACACTGTAAAAAACTAGAAAGTGTTGATCAGATTTATTTTGGTTTATCAAATCTGATTCAATTCTCAAAATCTAGAAACACATATATCAGTTAAATTTTTATATGGACACATGCTGTTTACTCTGGCAAAAACAAAGGAATAGAACGGCTGGGTCACATACCTTACCTGGAAAGGTAACTGCTCAAATCATTCATTTTTTACATTGGATTTTTTTTTCTTTCTTTTTTGTTGAGTTGTAAGAGTTCTCTTTAGACATAAATCTGTCAAATACACAATGTACTTTTATTGCCCTAGGGCTTGGGCTGAAAGCCAGGATCTTGCACATGCTGAGTATTTTACCACTGAGATACAGCCTTATCCCAACATAATATGCATTTTTAAAAATGAAACGTGGATGTGCTTCATTAATACAACACATAGTCTATCTGCATTCAATATTATCCTTTTAATAAAAAGCATTATCTCCATAGTCCCCAGCCACAAAATTTTGTCATCCCTAGTAAAGCAGTTAGTCAGTTGATGAATGAAAAACATGAAAAGGGTAAAAAAGTAGAAAACATATATTCACAACATTTTTCATCACTTCTGATTTTTAGAAGTCTCTTAGAAAACTACTAGGAGAGAGAAAAATAGAATCATATAATGGTTAATCTTCCTTTTCTTTTATTTTAAGCAAGCCTTAGAATATTACTATGAATACCTCCTCTTACACTTTTTTTTTTTTTTTTTTTTTGGCAGAACCAGGGATTGAACTCAGACCCTTGCGCTTGCCAGGGAAGTGCTTATTCTACTGAGCCATCTCCCTGGCTCTTATACTTTCTGAGACCCTGCTATTTACTATTAAGTGTTAATCCCTACTGTGTATTTCTATTCTAATTTCCTCAATTCCCTATTCCCGTTAGTTCCCCTGCATGTGTTTTTCTTCCGTAATTTCTTACGTGCAGCCCAACATTCCATATCTACCTCTATTCAATTTGGTGATTTCAAATTTGTTTTGACTAACTTTTGCTGATCCTGTTAAGTAAGCCAACACACTTTTTACTGCAAAGAGAACCAAACAAAAATAAACTTTCTGGAGCTCATAGGAAGAAGAGGAAAACTTTTGATGAGTGAAAAATTAAAACCAGTTTTTCAACAATACCTAAGTAAATAGTACCTTGCAAAATAAAACAAAAACACTATTACTACTTAAACTTTCCTACAGCCACTCCTCCACCACCGAGGGAATAAATATGGGAAAGAAAAACATATATAGAATCAACTATTGATTTTATTTTTTTTGCGGAACCAGGGATTGAACTCAGGCCCTTGCACTTGTCAGGGAAGCGCTTATTCTACTGAGCCATCTCCCCAGCCCTCAACTATTGATTTTAAACCATTCATTATCAAACTTTATAAAGACTACTTTCATATATTTATAAATTTTTGGGCACCTGCCTGGCAAACGCAAGATCCTGAGTTTGGAAAAAAAAGATCCTGAGTTTGATCCTGGTAGCAAAAAAAAAAAAAATTTGCATGTAACTTTTCACAGAATATATTATACCCAGGGGACACAAGATTTCAAAGACAAATTTGAAACTAACTCTATCATTAGAGTTTATCTAGAGAGAATTAAGATAAACCACAGATGCTATAGCAATATCCAACATGATATTGTCAGGATGTGCACAATCCTAGTGTTGTAAGTATTTTGTGGAAGTAAATATGAGACAAATAATTACATTTTTGCAATTAGATAAGTTCTTATCAGACACACAATGCTAGGTTCAACTGAAAAGATCCAACATTTAAAAAATGATATAAAAATAAGTTATAATATAAAGCTAATAAATCAGACACACGAGCTTAAATACCACATTTTTTCTCTAATGTGAGAAACAACATATAAATAAAGAGCAAATAAAATAAAAGATGATAGAAAAAAGGAAAATAGATCTTTTGCAAGAGGAAAGGAGGCCATGAGATGGATGGGGGGCAGTGTAGATGAGAAAGTGGGGATAAAATAATAATTAATATTTCTTATCCACATGTCAATAATTACGTGCTGCAAACATGGACCTTTAAAAAATAAAAATTGAAAAAAAACCTATTTGTGTACATCTTGAAATTTTCAGTTCAACTAGTTTTAATATAAGAAAATATGATTGGCTTTAAATTTTTATTAATACAAAATGTGAGCTTTATCATATATTAAAGAAAGCAGAGACAATATGAACCAAAACTGATTTATTTATCCAAGTAAAATACTTTTAAACATATATAAAAATGCAAAATAACTAATTTTTTCAGTAGATATACACGGGGTTATATCAATATGTCAAAACAACATGCTTAATCATTTTTACTCCATCTTAAATCACCTTATTGAACGATACATCATAAAATCAATAGTTGTACACCTAGGAAATTTACCAATAGAGCTCTCTTCCACTGGTGTATATATTTTAATCTGCCTCATGTGGGTGTCTCTTCCATTTTGGTGATTGGCTAGAACAGCAATCTGTATCATGAATGTGCGAGTTGGCTTCTTATGATTATCAGTTAAGGGAACATGAATCCAGCCACTTGGTTCCACCAATTCAAGTTGCTGACAAAAGAAGAAAGTTAGATTATATTTTCCCCATGAATATAATATATAATAATAAATGCATTCTAACATTAAATTATAATTAATATTTTGTTCACTGAGGGAATGACAGTATGACAATAATTCTTACCAGTTATTGAGCACTTTTACCTACAGTTATTAAGTACTTTACCTAAGTCATATTAGATAAAATAAAAATAGATGTATGAACCATAGTGCTTACAGTAAACTATATTAGTTAACAACAGAAAGCACATGTTTCAGCATCTTTAGAAATGTAAAGAATTATTGCATGTGTCAAAAACTATAATTTTACAACTATTACATGTAACAGGTAACCAATGCAGGAAATAACAATGGTATGCTGCTATTGCTGATTTAAAAAGCAATATATATTTCTAATTTTCTAAGTTCAAAATACAAATGCTACTAAATGAAGAATACTAGGCCTTTTGTCTATTAAACATGCTTGAATGCAAGTTATATGCCTTATCAACTATCGGAGGTTAGGCATATTATATAACCATTGTAAGCTTGAATTACATAACTATAATTCATTTTAATAACATTTCAAAAATAGGATTATCACCCATATCATATGGATATTGGAAAGAACAAATAAAATGGTGTATATAAAGAAGCAAGCATAGTATCTGACATATAGCAAATACTCAATGAATTTTTAAAATCAGAAGTTATATAAATTACATACTGAAAGCAAAAGAAAATTTCATCATCACCATCACCACCATCATCATAATCTCTGCAATGCTTTAATTAGTTCTTTTTCCAAGGTCACACAGGTTTTTTGGTTTTTTTTTTAATGTATTTGATACAGGGTCTCACTATACAGATTGGACTCGTAGTGACTGTCCTGTTTTCAGCCTCCCAAGTGCTGGGATTACAGGCGCGCGCCACCACGCCCAGCCTCATTTGCTGTCTCTGCACGCCCCAGATGCAGGGTTGGCTCAGCATGCCAGGGATTGAACCCAGGCCACTGTGCTCTGCCTAAGCAGGCACTTTAGTCCACTGGGCTATCTGGCAAGCCCACACAAGTTTCTTAACAGTGAATGCGTAGGTCCCTTATAAGGCAAAAACATGAATCTTGAAAACATAAATCAGAAAGTGAGTCTTAAAAGATGTCATCTACAATAAGTTCTTCCAGTGATATAAGCACTTTACCAAATAGGCAACTTTCCAGTAATTTTTTTTTCTAAGGTGCTATCTAAAGGTTTCTTAACAGTGTACACAGGGATCCTTTACAAACTCACAGCTCTGGAAAACATGAATCAGGACATGGTACTTGTTTAAAAAATTAAAACTTACTATTATTTTTTTTTATTTTTGTAATTTAGGGAAGGTTCTAACAGGGCATTCAGGGTCTCACTACTAGATCAGACTCCATAGTGATCCACCTGTTTACAGCCTCCCAAGAGCTGGAATCATAGGTGCACACCACCACACGTGTCCAGTCTCATTTGCCCCTTCAGTGTGCCCGGGGGCAGGGCCAGCACAACAGACCTGGGGGTCAAACCCCAGGCCACTGCACCTGCTTGTAGGCACTTTAATCCGTTGAGCTATTTGGCCAGCATTCCAAACTTATTTTTTAACTAATCATAAAAACACAAAAATTGTACATATTAATGGGGCACTACATGATGATCTGGTGCTTTTATATACTGTACAATCAGGTTAAATTTATCTCTTCAAATGACAAAAAAAAATCTCTTCAAATTTTTTTTCCTACTTTTTGGTTGCATGAGTCACCCCCTACTGTGCAAAAGTACTCTAGAACTTCTTATCCTAACTATATGCTACTGAGTGCCTACTGATCAACCTCTTTCTGCTCCCCTCTCTCCCTTCAAGCTCTCCTATGCCCAGGTAACCACTATCCCAGGCTCAGTTCTGCACAACTGACTTTTTTAGACACCACATATGAGCAAGATCATGTAGTACTTGCATTTCTATATTTGGCTTATTTCACTTACATAGTAGCCCCCAGTTCTATCCAGGCTGTTGCAAATGAAAAGATTTCATTCTTTGGTTGTTTGCATTCTGTGGATATTGTGACTAATGTTATAATAAACTCAGGAGTGTAGGTGTCTCTTTGACATACTGATTTCATTTTCTTTGGATATATACACAGGAACAGGATTGCTGGATGATATAGTAGTTCTATTTTGAAGTCTCTGAGGAAAGTATATATTTTCTCCAAAATGTCTAATTTACATTCTCATGGTGTGCAAGATTGTTTCCTTTTTCACATATTCTGGATATTAATTTCCTACATCTAGTTTGCAAATGTTTTCTCCCATTCTGCAGGTTTTCTCATTAGTCCAATGATTGTTTCTTTATTGTGGAAAAGTGTTTTAGTTTCATGCAATCCCATTTGTCTATATTTACTTTTGTTTGTGTGCTTTTGGAGGTATGTCCAAAAAAATCTTTGCCTTTTTCACTGTCCTTAATTTCAATGAGCGGACACTGGTACTTTGGAATAATTGTGTGTATTAATTAGATATTTTTCCTAGAATGTACCTAGTCCATCAAAAAAAGAATTCCTAACACTTGCTCAATCTGTAGTTAAAGTATTTGTTTAGCATACACGAGGCCCTAACTTTGATCACCAGGACTGCAAAATAAGTATGTAAATAAATGAATACACTTGGTGATAAGTAAAAAAATAAAAACACTTGGTAAAATCATAAACTTATTCAAGTCATTGAAATAAAGCATGCTGAAATATATAGTACCTAAGTTGTACTCTTATCAAAATTTCTAACATAATTCAATAGCAACTATAACTCTACAAATATGAAGATTATTTTTACTGACATTCAATAACTAATGAGCAAAATTCAACATAAAACAAAAATATATTCAACTTCACAAACAGAAACATGCTAGGCAATTTCTCATTTAAGAATACAGTCCCTTAAAGGTAATTTGATAACTTATAGACATAGAACAGTTGCCATCTATACATGAGATCATCCTCTCACAAAAAAGAACACATTCCCTTCTATAAACATAGACAGACAGAGCCAGCCAAATAGCTCAGCAGATTAAAGTGCCTGCAATGGGGAACAACCCACTCAGGACTCCCCCTCCTCTCCTTCTTTCAGACAGGAGCTTTCTTTCCCTCAATAAATATATTCTGCTTAAATAAATAAATAAATAAATAACGTGCCTGCAAACAAGCGCAGGGTCCGGGGATTCAATCCCCGGGCCTGCAGTGCCGGCCCCTCCCACAGGGTCCCACTGAGAAGGCGACTGAGACTGGGTGTGGTAGTGTACGCCTGTAATCCCAGCTCTTGGAAGGCTGTAAACAGGCAGATCACTATGAGTCCTATCTAGTAGTAAGATCCTGAACACCCTGTAGACCCTTCCTTAAAATACAAAAAAAAAATATATAGATAGATAGATAGACAGACAGATATATCTATAGATATAGATATCCCATCAAGGGAAATACGATGTGCATACACATTACAAATACATACAATCTTGGGAAAATCATGCTAGTCCTAGTAGAAAAAGTTTTAACATTATGTCTCTGATTTCATTTCATGGAATGTACCTAATATCCCCAAATTCAAGTAATAATAAATCTAATTCTGTATAAATTATGAAAATATTAACTAAGATGACTTATTTAATAAGCATCTAACAAAGTTTCTTTTCTTGGAAAATGTTTTACTTAGTTTAAATGATAATCTAAAACCTAGATTTTAGTGTTTTTCTCTAAGAAATGCATGAACACAGGTCATTTAATTTAAAAATCATTTCATTTAATTGAGTCCAAACTGTCTTTATCATTTTCAAGTCCAAACTGTCCAACATTAACAAATGAAGAAAAATCTTGTCAGAAAATAAAACTAAGTTTATAATTCTCTAAAGTTATACAGTGACTTTTAAATAGACACTGATTTAAAATTATCTTAATGACTGAACACACATGAACAACATGCATCACAGAAAACATAGATTTGTCTTATGCATACAGCACAAAGCATGAGTATCAGTGAACCTAAATTTTGGATCCCATGGGTCGCCCTAGAAAAACAATTAAGGAATACTACTATATCTTCTTTTCCCTCCTCCTGCTCTCCTTTCCACCCCCCCCCACCTCTTCCCTTCTTTCTTCTCTGTCCAACTGAGAAACTAAGGATAAATGAGAACCAAAAAATCTCTCCAAAACACAGTTTTAGTACTGAATAGTTTCCTCCTTCTAACTGCAAATAACAATACCAAAAATGCATGCATAACAAGGTATTATATTTTTTTTTTTTTTATTTTTAGCAGAACCGGGGATTAAACTCAGGCCCTTACGCTTGCCAGGCAAACACTTATTCTACTGAGCTATCTCCCCAGGCCCCTCCTTACTAAATTTTAATTTCTCCATGAGGAATCATGTCTCATGGCCTCATCTTGCTCAGGTATTCTTTCCATCTTTCTCATATCTTCCTTGTTTTTTAAGATTCACCTGCCTAGTTCTGGGTGGATCAAATCAATGGAACAGAACTGAGGATATAGAAAATTCCCAACTTATTCCACTATTTAATCTTTGACAAAGTGGCCAAAAACGTACATTGGAGGAAAGACAGCCTATTCAATAAGTGTTGCTGGGAAAATCGGTTATCTGTTTGCAGAAGACTGAAACTGGACCCTTATCTCTCACTACAATCTAAATTACAATCAAAATGAATCAAAGATCTAAACATTAAAACAAACATCAAACCTACTAGAAGATTAAAATCTCAACACTTGAAAACACTGATATAGGAAAGGGTTCTGTTTTGTTTTGTTTTGTTGAGACAGGGTCTCCCTGCACAGTTCAGACTGGCCTTGAACTCACTATGTAGCAAGGGTTTCCCCTACCTTACAGCAATCATCCTGCCTCAGCTTCCCAACTGCTGGGATTTCAGGCCTCTGCTACCACACCTTGCTCAGGAAAGGAACAAAACTTCAATGGCTGAAGCCTCAATGGTACAAGAAATAAC